TTTCCCAGCCTTGGACAATCAGATGGCTGTGGCCACAAATGAAAGAATTGGCTCCCGGGTTTATATTCATTTTCGGTCCTACCTAGGGTGATGACGCGATGGACAGACTTGGGCTGTGAACGGCTGACACACGGCATGCGGTAACACCGGTAGCTGGGCAGCAGGAAACAGCCCTGACCCTGCAGCCAGGAGCCTTGCTTCAAGGTGCAAATACAATAGTCACTGTGACAAAAGTAACCACCTCTGGGCCAGCAGGTGAGGTGGTGGTTAAGGTTGCTGGACTCCCATGTGTTCGACCACAGTTCGAGTTCCGGACTTGGCAACTTGCTTTCTCACTTTCCTTCTCTCTCTCACTCACTCTGTCTCTCTCTGGTCAAATTAAAATAAATAAAGTGAAATAAAATAATTCTTTAAGTAACTGCCTCTATTCATGGTGCCAGTTCTCTGGCTTAATCCTTTCTACCACCTTCTGAGATTCAAAATGCTGTCCCTGTTATACCGATGATGAAGCTGGGTCCCGGAAGACTCCAACCACTTGCTCACTGAGAAAGTAGAGCCAAGATGTGAACTCAGGTCTTTTGGCCTCCAGAATTTGTGCATTGAACCACGATCCAACTTTGCTCTTAAGCCAAATGGCCTTGAGCCAGGGACTTCCTCTCTGCTCTTCAATTTCATACCATAAAATGAGGAGTTGGACTCTATGATCCTGAAGTCTCTTCCAGCTCTAACACAAGGAATCTAGCCCAGAATCTGAAAGGAATAGGCTCTGGGCAAGTCAAAACCTTAACCCAAAGTGTTCGGTAGTGCCAGACTGCCCTGTGAGTGCCTGAGTCTTCTGAAACCAGATGCTGGAGTCTGGTCAGGTGATGGGCTAGAAGAAGAGTGGGCTGGGAGGTTCCCCACAATGCTACTCATGCCCCATCTTCTTACTGGCCCATGGTGGGGCTGTAAGAGGCTGAACAGGCCTTCTGATCCTTGGCATCTCCAGCTCCTCAACTTAGACAGAAATCTTCTTCGTGATTGGTTGTTTCTTGTTGACCTCTGTGTGTTCACCTTTCCTACTGGCTGAGAGGTCCTCAAGGACCAGCAGGAGTGCCTTCTCCATAGTAAGCCTGGAGTCAGCAGATGGCATAGGGGTTATGTTGCTGGACTCCCACATGGCAAAGAGCAGTTTGAGTCCCAGATCCAGTGTCTTGAAACCCAATGCCAGGAGTGTATGCGTGTGTGCCCAAGATCTCGGGAGGAGAATAGAGAAGAAGGGATTGTGATGTGGCCATCCTCCTTGGGGGTGATTTCTCACTTTCCTTCTCACTGTATTTGTCTCTGTTTCTTTCTCTGTCTCTCTCTCTTGAGACTGCATGTACCCTAAGACAGAAATCTCTTTAAACAAACAAAAAAAAAAAAACAAAAAAAAACATAGTAAGCTTTCAGTGTTAGCCCTGTCCCCTTTTCTTTCATGTTCTTCTCAGTGTGAAGGTGTTGCTACTAGCCCGATGGGACATTTGAACTCGTTAACATGACCAGTTCAGGTCCTTGGCAGTGCTCTCCACATTTCCACTCTCAGTAGCCACACGTGGGTAATAGCAGCCATTTCATTTTTTAAAAAGCATTGATTGATTGATTGATTTGTTGTGATTTTCAAGCTGCCGGGTCTAGAACTTGAACACAGTCAGCCATGTGAGAATCCAGTGCCTTAACCACCATGCCACCTACTGGCCCAATGGCAGCCGTTTTGGTCAGCACAAAGAAAGGACACCTCTAGTAGGGTTTAATGCTCTAGGGTACAGCACTGGGGGTTTGGGGGGGTCCAGGCCAGGAGCCCTCATAGAAGGAATGGAAGGAATTTTCAGACCCGGCCATGGTAGCACAGAGGTAGGCAGTGCTCTGCCATGCTGGAAGCCATGGAAGATCTGGGTTCGGTTCCTAGGCTAATGGACACATGCTGGGTATGCGTGCACGTGCCTGGGATCCTGGCTGGTAAAAAGTCAGAGAAAGGAATCGCAGCACAAGGGCCTATTGAGGGTGCTTTTCTCTCGCTCACATTAAGTAAATGAATAAATAAATAAACTTTAAAAAACTAGATAAATGTGATTTTCAGATTGGGCAGAGGATGAGTGAGTAGTAAAAGCTTTGTCCTCAAAGGTCTGTCCCAGCTACTAATCATACAGGTGGACACTTGGAGGGACCTTGAGGTCAGTGCCAACCCTCCTTCAGTGTCCCCCAGGCGGCAGTCCAAGAACTGAGTCCATCCATGGAGAAAGGAAAACGTCAGGAGAAAAGCCGGGCAAAGGTTTCATGCTGCCACCTAAGCTGCTTCCTCCTTGGTTGCAAAGGCAGGGACGGACAGCTCCTCACCTGGGCTGCAGCAGTGTCCACTCTGGATGGGCGACTCTGTGCCAGGGTGCACCCAGCTGGTTGACTTCTCCTCATCACTGTAGAAGGACCAACAAGAAAGTGTCAGAAACAAGAGCGGCTCCCCAAGTGAGATTCCCGTCTCCAAAGCCAATCCAGCTACCTTAGGTGGGTGCGTCCAGTGCCACTCACTCATTCACACTGACAAACTCAGGGGATTCAGACACAAACAGTATCTCATCCCTGGCCCTGAACAGTTTATAATTCACGGGGGAAGCAGCTGCATACACATACAACGTGCTAGGAACCATAACCCCTATTGCAGCTATGCATAGAAAGTACGATGTCATCACAGAGAAGGGAATGCCACCTGGGGTGAGTTAAGGAAGGATATCATGAAGGTTTCATAAAAAGGTAGCATTTGAGGATTAACTCCATAGCACTCAGTTAAGGAAGCTGGATCTCACATGGTTCAAGTCTCGCCCCCGGCAGACTGAAAAAACATGCCATGTGTGTGTGCGTGCCCAAAATCCTACAGGAAGAAGGAGTGGAGGAAGAAGGATTGCAATGTGGTCACACTATGTGGAGGATGCTTTCTCTCTCTCTCTCTCTTTCTCCCTCCCTCTGGCAAGCACATGTGCCCTCTGGCAATTAAAAAAAAAGGTGACATTCGAGGTGTCTACCGAAGACAAGTGGATGAACAGGGAGGGTGCTCTGGATCCAGGACTTGAACCATGGGGTTGGCTATGTCGGATCCAGCTGCCTTAGCCTCCACACCACCTGCTGGCCCCTACTATGTTTTATTGAGGTAAGCTATGCAGTGAATTGCGTGTATAGTATACAATTTTATATGTCTGCAGGGTATTTGTAGCTGTGAAACTATCACCAAAATCAAGATAATGAATCCTTGAAACTTTCTTTGTGCCCACTTGTAAATTCCTCCCTCCCACTCCTCTTAGCCCTTACTATCTTCAGTTTCCCCCAGCAACAACTGATCTGCTTGCTGTTGCTATTGATTAGTCTGCATTTTCTAGAGCTTCTAGAGTTTTCTATAAATGGAAAGCAAGCTAGACGTCTTCATCTAACGTCTTTCCTCCCCCCGTGCTGTAGCCTGTGTGAGCTGTTCATTCCGTCGCATGGCTCAGTAGCACTCCACTGCAGGAGACCCCACACTGTGTTCATCCACTGCCTGGTGAAGGCTGTACGGGCTGTTTTCAGCTGAGGGTCGCTACACACACAGCAGCTATGTGCATTCATAGCTCTGTGTGCACATATGCTTTTTTGCTCTTGTGACTCCACCATTTTTCCTCTAAGGTTGGGCCTTGCTTCCCAGGTGACACCCCTCCGATGGGCAAAGAAATAAATCACTGTGCTAACAGCCCTGAGTCCTGCAGTCCTGGGGAGCCATTGGAGAAGCCCCCCGACATGCTGGTCCCGGGAGACAGTGGGGGAGAAGGCAGGGAAGGGGAAGGGCTCCCAGGGAAATGTGCCAGCTCTCTCCCAGTCACAGTTCCTCCTCCACTGCCCTGAGACTCCCCTGATCTCCTAAATCTCACCCCTGCCTGGGTATCCTGGACACCCCAACACACCCTCTACCTCCCACCGCAGTCCTCAGCTTCCCCTTCACCTGGTCCTTCCACTCCCCTCCCTGGGTCAGCACCAGGCCCAGGACAGCACAGACACAGGCTGTCTCTGCTTGAGCAGGAGCTGACGGGAAACTGGAACTGAGAGGGCTGGTGTCACTCCAAGGCCAGTCTCTCAGCTGGGCCTTGAGCACCACCTGGAACCTTGCTCAGCGCCCCTCAGCAACTACCATTTAGAGTGTTCTATGGCTTCCCTCTAACCTTCTCTTCTTAAAAATTTTACTTCTTCCATGAGGGAGAGAGAAAAACAGAGAGAGAGAGAGAGCGTGCATCCCTATAGGTGCTGACACCACCACCCTCCCTAGCCTGGCAGCCAGCTCCAGGTCATGGACACACACGTGCCCAACACACAGGGAGGTCCCCAGACTTGAACCAAGCACCTTCCCAAGTGAGACTGCCTCACAGAGTATCCCACTTTACAGCTCCACCACTATCTGGTCCCTCAAGGGATGATCTGATCTCTCTCTCTCTCTTTTCCTTTTTTTTTTTTTTCTTTTGTTATTTTCATATAGGGTGCATACACTCAACGGAGAAAGAGAAAGGGAAAGTGAGAAATCACTCCCTAGAGGGGATGGCCATGCCACAATCCCTTCTTCATACTCTTCTCGGGATTTTGGGCACACACACATGACTGCCAGAGGGATCATAACATAGACAGGGCTATGTCAGTCAATATGTTTAAAACCTCCTTTGGGATCAGTTGGTGGCATGTGTTTAAGGTAGCTGGATCCCACATGGTCAACTATATAGTTTGAGCCCCAGACCTGGCAGCTTGAAAAACATATTGGAAGGTGACATTCGAGGTGTCTACCGAAGACAAGTGGATGAACAGGGAGGGTGCTCTGGATCCAGGACTTGAACCATGGGGTTGGCTATGTCGGATCCAGCTGCCTTAGCCTCCACACCACCTGCTGGCCCCTACTATGTTTTATTGAGGTAAGCTATGCAGTGAATTGCGTGTATAGTATACAATTTTATATGTCTGCAGGGTATTTGTAGCTGTGAAACTATCACCAAAATCAAGATAATGAATCCTTGAAACTTTCTTTGTGCCCACTTGTAAATTCCTCCCTCCCACTCCTCTTAGCCCTTACTATCTTCAGTTTCCCCCAGCAACAACTGATCTGCTTGCTGTTGCTATTGATTAGTCTGCATTTTCTAGAGCTTCTAGAGTTTTCTATAAATGGAAAGCAAGCTAGACGTCTTCATCTAACGTCTTTCCTCCCCCCGTGCTGTAGCCTGTGTGAGCTGTTCATTCCGTCGCATGGCTCAGTAGCACTCCACTGCAGGAGACCCCACACTGTGTTCATCCACTGCCTGGTGAAGGCTGTACGGGCTGTTTTCAGCTGAGGGTCGCTACACACACAGCAGCTATGTGCATTCATAGCTCTGTGTGCACATATGCTTTTTTGCTCTTGTGACTCCACCATTTTTCCTCTAAGGTTGGGCCTTGCTTCCCAGGTGACACCCCTCCGATGGGCAAAGAAATAAATCACTGTGCTAACAGCCCTGAGTCCTGCAGTCCTGGGGAGCCATTGGAGAAGCCCCCCGACATGCTGGTCCCGGGAGACAGTGGGGGAGAAGGCAGGGAAGGGGAAGGGCTCCCAGGGAAATGTGCCAGCTCTCTCCCAGTCACAGTTCCTCCTCCACTGCCCTGAGACTCCCCTGATCTCCTAAATCTCACCCCTGCCTGGGTATCCTGGACACCCCAACACACCCTCTACCTCCCACCGCAGTCCTCAGCTTCCCCTTCACCTGGTCCTTCCACTCCCCTCCCTGGGTCAGCACCAGGCCCAGGACAGCACAGACACAGGCTGTCTACGCTCGAGCAGGAGCGTACGACCACCTGGAACCTTGCTCAGCGCCCCTCAGCAACTACCATTTAGAGTGTTCTATGGCTTCCCTCTAACCTTCTCTTCTTAAAAATTTTACTTCTTCCATGAGGGAGAGAGAAAAACAGAGAGAGAGAGAGAGCGTGCATCCCTATAGGTGCTGACACCACCACCCTCCCTAGCCTGGCAGCCAGCTCCAGGTCATGGACATACACGTGCCCAACACACAGGGAGGTCCCCAGACTTGAACCAAGCACCTTCCCAAGTGAGACTGCCTCACAGAGTATCCCACTTTACAGCTCCACCACTATCTGGTCCCTCAAGGGATGATCTGATCTCTCTCTCTCTCTTTTCCTTTTTTTTTTTTTTCTTTTGTTATTTTCATATAGGGTGCATACACTCAACGGAGAAAGAGAAAGGGAAAGTGAGAAATCACTCCCTAGAGGGGATGGCCATGCCACAATCCCTTCTTCATACTCTTCTCGGGATTTTGGGCACACACACATGACTGCCAGAGGGATCATAACATAGACAGGGCTATGTCAGTCAATATGTTTAAAACCTCCTTTGGGATCAGTTGGTGGCATGTGTTTAAGGTAGCTGGATCCCACATGGTCAACTATATAGTTTGAGCCCCAGACCTGGCAGCTTGAAAAACATATTGGACACATGTGCGTGTATGCCCAAAATCCTGAGAGGAGAATGGAAGAGAAGGGATTGCGGCATGGCCATCCCCCTTAGGGGGTGATTTCTCACTTTCTCTCTTGCTCTGTACCTCTCTGGTGAGCACACGTGCCCTATAGCAAATTAGAAATAAAATAAGATCTCCTTTGGCCTCCCACCGCCTACAGGACTGAGTCCGACCCTTGGTCTAACACACAAGGCCTCTCTCAAGTTGCCCTCCCACCTTTTGCATCTCCTCCTCTGCAGCACCCCAACAGCCCAACTCCACCTGCACTGAGCCCCTCAGAGTTTCCTAGGTCCCCTGTGCCCTGGCACCCATGGGTGCCTTCCTGTCCACAGGCCTCTGCACTCTCGTCTCTCCTGCAGAATCTGCTCAAATGCTTCCTCCTCAGGAGGCCCTCCCTGAACTCCCAGGAGAGTTCTTTCCTCCTGTTTCTACCGCGTCATATAAACGCGTCTAGAATGTATCTTACTATTTCGTAAGCATTTCTTTAGGTTTTCTCCCTTCTCCCTACTCCCTTAAAGGAATAACCGGTGCCTTACTGTCTTGTCTTGTCTTTCACTCCAGGGCCTAGCATTACATGACAACGAATGGAGGCTCAGTAAATGTGGAACGAAAGGTGAAAAAAAGCTGGGAGCTTCCAGAGACTGGGAAGGAAGAAGAGCAGAATTAGCACTTCATCAGAATACCCGAGCAATGTGGAAGTTCAGATTCTCAGCCTCCCCCCAGATCTTCTCACTAGAAGTCTGGAGAGAAAGCCTGGGAACCAGCCTCTTAAATAAGATTCTTGGGTGATTCTTATGGCCTGTAAGGTCTCAAGTCACTGACAGGGAGGACCCCAGTTTTAATCATGGAGAAGCTCCGTTATTTAAAAACCTGACGTGAGATCAAGAACCTTGTGGACTTAACTTCTAAGATAATATAATTACAACATCAGTCATGATAATGGCGGTGATAATTACAGAGGAAGGCCTAAAGCAAATATGGAAACTGAGAAACACCAGAGACCGTTGCTTGCCCGAGCTCTTGCCAAGGCGTTGGGTGTGGGGGACACAGTGCCCTAGAGTCAGCAGATGGGAGCGTGGTCTAAGCTCTGAGTAACAAGTGTCTGTATTTTAGGCAAGTCTATTGGATCCCTGAGACCTCGGGGCCCCCATCTATGAACTGAAGGGGCTGCTTCTCGGACTCCTCAGTGCATGTGCTTCCTGAGTGGCTGTCTTGGGGAGGGGCTGGGGGAAGCTTGCCTGTGTGGACGGCAGTCCGGATGCTGTGCTTCTAGACTTGCTATATTACCCGGAGATTTCTCTGCTGGCAAAGGATGAGTAAAGGAACAGCGGGCCAAAAGAGGACCAGCACGGCCACTTTGTTATAATGAGATTACGCCAGAGCCATTTCGGTTTATGAAATTAATATAACAGTACTAATATATTACCGACAGTAGCAAAGGCTCTCTAAAGAATGCCAAACATACCGTGGGCACTTTCTCTTGCCTTTTGGCCACAGCCCATAAAGGGGCAGAAAGAGCCTTGGGGCTCCTGTATTGGGGTGCTGGGGCCACAGAGTTCTGGGGTCAGGGAATCCCAAGAACTGGGCGATAGAGGTAGAGTCTCCTGGCATTTTGTCACTTAGCCCTAGATTTCTAATAGGACAGTCTGGAGGTGGGGAGAAAAGACAGACCCCTGCCCTGGCAAAGAAAGGCACTTAAAAGAACTCCATGCTGGGCACCAGTCAAGTCCTTCTCCTGGGGGTGGGGGGTGGACGTGGGGGGGTGGGGGAAGCCGGCACCTGCCATCCTCCTGTGCTGCCCTGCCCTGCCTTTCCAGGCTGAGGCTCTGCTGGACTTTGACCCATTGAGGAAAAGGCGGGAGACGCATGCAAACTTATTAGTCATGGGCTTCCC